AAAGTTAGTATTTACTTTACAATTAGTATTTCAATTAAAATTTTAATATTTATTCCTCAACTCAAGCTTTCTACTTTTCTAATATAATACCGCAACCACAGAAAAAAATTTCCGAACCCAATTACACTTCAATGTATCATAAAATAGGTTTAATATAGCGCCGTTCATATTTATTATAAAGAAAGGAATATTTTAATCTTAAATGAAAAATTCTAAAATCTATAATGACACGATAGTATGTGTCGTCTTTTGTCGAATATCGTGGTGCGAACTTCGTGCGCAGTAAGATGGAGGGAAAATTTATTCTAAACGCAAGAATATATATAACGTTACTCTTGGTCTCATTCTAGTAAGCCAATCTTTTTTTAATTCGATAGAGGAGAATAAGAATTATTGATTTTATTTTGATATCGTCTTATTTCTATACTAAATGAGGTTGTGAGAAATGTAAATGCGTCAAGACTAATTTTTGCCTCGGTAACAGAAATCCTTTCTGAGGGTGCGATTGTCAGTGACTGGTGATATTTCAGCGTACATTTCGAGGAGACTATTACGTTACTTTAGATTGTTTAATTATAATATATTCTTCCCCCCTGTGTGATTTCATGCTCGATAATAATACAAAATTACAATAAGCTTCTAACGTAGGTAATATAAACAATTAATATAAGCGACGGCTATTAATCCATTGCGATTGCCATCGATCCAGGCACCCTAATCACAGTAATTAAGCCTTTACCATCGCGATTGGCAAGGTCAGTTCTCTCCAATCCGGAACGTCATGCAGAAACGCCTCTTTTCTACAAGCCATATTATAAAGTCGCCGTTTTGTGACAGTCGCACACGCCCTCCTCGTCACCGAAACGACCCCCGCGAATGAAAAATAGTCGCAGTGGCACTCCTTCAACCGTCTTGGTAACAAGTCCGATCGACGAGGTTCCAGAGCACAATGCTCGAAAAACATGCGCGAGATTGATCTCCTTTCGAAGACGATCGCGCGCGATCGCGAGGACTCGCTTTCACTCGCACGCCTCCCTCCCTCCGACTCGCTCGTTTCTGGATCATTAATAACCGTTGACTTGCACGGCGATTGTTAGCGCGAAATCACGAAAGGCGAAAAGGATTGACGAGGAGGAGAGTGAATTCACTCCCGCCATTACGCTCGATTTCGTTCTGTCGTCGCGTTTCGATTTCGATTCGGGTTCTCTTTGTGTCGCCTCCTCCTCGGGCCACTCGAGCGCGCACAAAGGATGCGTTTCTCCCCATGCTGCACCAGGCCGATGCAACCGATGCAGCTGCAAGGCCACGAGGAAAAAGGGGCAAGATCGCGAGAGGAAGAAAAGGAGAGAGAGAGATCTCTTCATCGTGAGCCTAATTAACATTCACTGGCGAGTGAAGCGGAATAATGTTTCTAATTGCACGTTTTTAATTTAACATTTTCGATAATTCGATTAGAGAGAACGGGAGAAATTACTTCACGCTATTATATCTTACAATCTTGTGTAATAATAATTTAATTAGTATGTTATATAAGATTTACAAAAAGACATCCTGAAAATGGCTATGTTTTACTTTGTGACGACTCTTCTCTTTCTAATCAGAATAATCTGTCAACAGTTCCTGTATTTTGCAAGTATACTTGCAACGAGTTTCAAGAAAATCTACCAGCATTTTTGTCTAATTGTATTCAGCAACAAATATCGGTTAACATTTTGTAAAATGAATGTAGCTTTGAAACAAAGCCACGCTATTTTTTACTTTTTATCACATTTCTAATTTGAGATCTTGAATAATAACAATTTTAGTAATACTTTAAATGTCAAAGAGTTAGCCGTAAACTTTTGTACAATTTCGTTTATCCGGTGAATCGTTATTTTTTCCTTTTCATAAACAACGTATCTACATAGTAGCACCGAGTGTTGATTTCTTGGGACCCTTGAAATATTTCAGGCCAGCTCTGAACCGCGATCGTGAGTTTCCGCGGCAGTTTTCTTTGTGCCGATGAGCCGTAAACCAGGAATTAATTAGCAGGTAGCTTGCCGGAGCAGGGAGCCTTTTACGAGGCTCGTAAAAAGTTGATTCTGGATTCGCCTCGCACGGCCAGCGATACTTTATGTCGGCCGTCTCGTTTCGCCAATATTTCGCGACTGAAGACGCAATCTGTCCTCACTGTTAATAAAGATAACAGTGACACGACCAGTGCGTATTCCAGAACGGTCATGCATCTAATGCGATAAATATATTCCGTCTACATGATGAATATAAAATTGTTATCGTTTAAAAGAAGAAACAACGAATCAGGCAATAGGAGCCAACACAAGACGTTACGCGTGAAAAATAAATAGTTTACATCAAATACATCAAAAAATAAAATGAAAATATAAATGTAAATGTTAAAACGTCAGACGTTTCGATCACACAAAGTGATTCTTCTCAGTGACATAATATACATATTAAATTAGACGCACGCAGTCATTAACTCAAATAATAATAAACTGATTTGTTATGATTTAAAAACTCATAAATTAAAAAAAAAGCACGAACAATTACATAAAATCTTCAAAAATTCTCATTCAAATGCTCAAAGATTCCTCGATCAATTTCATCATTCAGAAAAGTACCGTAACATCTTCGACTCGGTTGTCGCTATCAATTTTACGCGTTGACTCAATGCAGAATAATTCATCTGCGAAAATAATTTGCCCGAAAGATATGCGAGACGCACGTGCTGTTCTTTCCGTAAGATAATTTCCGTGTGTTCGGCGAGGCTCATAAGCACGCGTAATATCTCTACTCGGCCCTTATGTTTTTACGCCCCGACCGGAATTGCTCCAATTGGCCGCGCATTTATTTCCGAACATCTTTATTTTCCACGTTGCATCGTAAAAAGGGCGGGACGCGTTCGCATTAAGGTTTTACAACTGGGCCCCATGTGTAACCACGACGGCAGGAACCGCGTATGCGTAAAATTATCGTCGTCATAACCCGCGCAAACGTGCAGTATTACGACCAGTCACGATATATTCAATCTCTGTTCGCTTATCGTTTGCCTCGACAAAGTACTGTTGAAAAGTCCCGAGGTTGTCGAGCTGGTTCCGAAGATATCTCGAGAAAAATGCGTTTTACTCACTCGACAATTCTAGTTCTTGTCTTAAAGACAATTTTTTTTATTGGACACCTGATAAAAAGTCACATAACGATTATTTTTGTCATCCGCATACGATACTGTTTTGATCCGTGCCTTTTTGGATTGCATAAGTATTATGTTGCTTATTTTGACAACGCAAACTGATGACCAGATCTGGTTTCACTTCACACGATCCTCCTGCGCAAGAGATCCTGTTTCTGCTGCGTGACGAAATATACATCGTCATGAGCCACGCTATCGAAATTTCCAAACAAGAAACTTGCACATTTTTAGATATGTCAGTTTGATTTTTAATTAACGTTGATTATTTTAGTTTGGATATAAGCCTTGGAGAACATTGTCGAAATTATGTTAACTGTATAAACGCCCATTCGAGAATACGTTGCGCTTTTATGTGTACAACTGACGTTTTTTTCATTAATTGCGAATAATAAAAAAATAACACACCGTGTCTGAGACACTAATATAGAGTGTCCGTCGTCAAATGTAAAACTGATTGACTAATCTGATTAAATATCAAATATTTTAATATAAAAATAACATTACATAAATATAATAAAATTCGTTTGTATTGTAAGTGGACAATAAAGTTTAATTGCTTTCTTATCAGATATTCAATTAGGTATCTAGAGATAAAAATTCCTTCGCTTCTTATCGCTTATAATGCGATTCAGAAATTGACGATATACTAGAGGATTACTCAGAAATTAATCAAAAAATTGTTTATAAATGAGATTCTTTTAAAGATATTTTTAATTAAGATTACGGATATGAATTCAAGAACACTCTGTACACGTCTAGAAGGTCTCTCTAACACCGAAGCGCAAGTAACTCGAGACTCTTGTGCGAGGTAACCGTTTAAACCGCTGACCGTAAACAGAGAAGCTCGGGAGAAAGGCTTGGAAGTCTACCCCGGGTTCTTGTAAGGGCGTTAATTACGGGGCTGCTTTCTGTTTCTTCTCCCTCGGCCGATTTCTGTTATCCGAGTGCCTCTCGCGAAGGGGCACAGGAGTAAACGTGAACAACGTGAGCGTCGAGCATGCAACCATTTACTCTTGCTACACTTATCTGAAGCGGTTGGCGCAAGTAAAATATAACCGGTACTTGGTTGCCGGTCAGAAGAACTCTGTCGGCGTTAATCTAATCCGTGAATATTTTTAGATAGGCTAGACAAGTTAAGCTCCTAGTTCACTTAATGATATTGTAACGGCAATAAGACACATGCGATAATTTGAAGTATAATTAGAGGACTTTAATAATCATTTTCGTTTCTTTAAGAATTTGAGAATATTCATTTTATATCTGAGAAAATTAAAGAACATTTAATTATGTCAAATCGTGCAAAGTGGCTCAGTGGAGCAACGGAAACGAAAGTGACAAAATGAAATTCCAAGGGAAAGTGAATAGAGGCAAGAGATGACAAAGTGCATTATTGATGACACTCCAACAGATCCTCGTATCCTCTGTCATACTTAATAAAATCTATCCGTAAATTAAAATTTGTTTAACTTATTTGTGAAAGCGCGTTTTTCAACAACTTGATCTCGGCTTTTAATAGAGACCCTTTCGTTCGTCTTTGTTCGTCCGAAATGAACTGTAGCTTTATGCGGCAAAACGCTCTTCAGTCGGTTGAACGAACGTATCGCGTTACTCGCTCAATGACAGAGCCAGCGAGACCAACCATTGGCGCAGACTATGTAATCATCGCCGCAACGTGGTTTCAGCTTACTTCGGCCGTGTTGCGCGGCCGAATTACCGCCGCGGGCGTATCCGAAACACGACACGCCAATTACTATTATTGAGTCTAAGCGTCTAAGCGCATGCTCACGCGAGTTGCTCGGTTCTGTTTCAGATACATCGTACGAGAAGGCTTGTCGAAGAGGTAGCGCGCCCGCGACCCCCGTGCTCGGCGCGCGACCCCTGGATGTCACCCCGAACAGGATCGTGGTAAGTAAACTCGATTGCAAAGTAATTCGTTAAAAGCGGACGCATCACTCACAATTAACAATGCCATCTCGAGCGGGGTCGTTGTAAATAAATTGCCGAGTAATTCGTTAAAAGCGGATGCCTCAGTCAATGTCGACGATCTACGATTGTATTGTCGTAACATCGTGGCACTCCGCGTCAATTCAAATTATTATTTTCGCGTTGCACTGTAAGGTCCGGTTTTTCATTTTCTGATTAAATACTAACAAGCGGTTAGTCGACTCTCCATCTTTTTACACATGGTATTACTAGAAATGACAAAACGCGCGCTTCGCGCGCGCAGTTTGTAGTTGAGCATTGTGTGTATATTTTTAAGAATTTGTATACATGCAAAGAAGTAATTGTAGGCGCAACGTCAATTTAAAATATAAAATAATTTATCACTCACTGATACGAGTTGCAACAGCAGAGTTGTACATCGTTAACTATATATGTGAAACTGTAACAATATAAATATGTATATGATTATTATAAACTAATTATGTAAAATCAAAATTATTGTATTAAATATACTTTATATTTTATATTTTTAAATACGTATTTATTCAAATAATTATATAAAATACTGAAAAAGTCTTCCTTTTAAATATAAACTCACAAAATTTTATATGTATGGTTTTGTCTCTAACACTTATTCAAATCCTCGTTCGAATCATTTGAATAAATAAAATAAAAACACAACAGATGCTTTATTTCGCACAAGTAACAGATAACAGAAAAATGTAAGACACTTACCTCACCCTTTCTCCGCTGTTGCCCGATGCCTCCTAGACCTGCACATCCTCTCAGATTTCCTTGTTGCACTAACACAACACTCACTCGCGAAAATCATCGATCGCGCAAAATTTCGGGCACTCCCGTACGCGATGTGAAATACCGCGGAACACACCAAATATTATTAACAAATATCGCATGCCTTTCTATGATACAAATTACTCAATCTAACAACTTGCATTTTTGATTCGAAAGAATAAGATAATGAATAAATCACTTTTGAATATAAAACGCAACGCGACCATCGGAAGCATCTGCGATAAAGAAATAGTCCGCAACGAAACGATATTTTACAATCTTTGTCATTCGATCTAATCCTCGAAATAAATTATGTGAGCGAAGTTTCCAGCGACAAATAGTTGTTATTAATTGCGGCAGTTAATCGAGATAATTTTCGATTACATGCACATAATGTAACGATGAGCGATAAGCGACTTTCTTTACTTCCCGCCCGTTCGAGTTGCGAAGAACGACGGAGCGAATTACAGCGCGAACGCCGAAGTCGCACAAATTTCTCTCTTTTCCCGAAAATGGAACAGATTACACGAAACCGATAGATAATTAAAAGCGCGGTGCGTAAACGAGATGTAACCGCGACAAGATACCACGGTTTACATTAATAATTTAGATGAGTTAGTCTCGTGAAATATCAATAAAGAGCCGTCGCCTCAACATGCAATTCGTTTCTCATTACAAGTTATAGAAATTGAATAATTAATCGAGGAACGTTACTTGTTACTAATAAAGGTGTGCAAATCAATAGCGTTTTATCCCTGCATTCATCGCGATCGAGTCTTGGAAACCGATAACGCAAAAGTAACACGACGCACGGAGCGACTCTCGCTGCTGCCTGCCGGCACGACGTTCGGCGAGCGAATGATAGGTGCGGCGACCTTCGAGTACACGATGGCATGCAAAAACATCGTACGTCACCGCGCCGAGAGAAAAACAACAACGAACGTTGAGAATTCATTGTCCCGCCTACGAAATTGAAAATACTATACTGAATATTTTACATTACCTTGTTCCGCGACTGTTAGTACGTTTTGTGTATCATTCTTGGAGTTATTGGTATTGATTAAATGAACGATTAATTCTGTTCAATCGAGAAAATGTTTCGAAGCAAAAATCGTTGTTACTTAAATTCTAATTACTAAGATTAGAGATTTTACCTCAATAGTTGATGCATACAAATGTACTATATATTACTAAATCACAAATCTTCATTCACTATGAATCTAAAAGAGAAGTGAAGCACACCACGCTTCGAGAAAACCAATCAGTATCGCGAAAAAGAGGCCTCAACTGTTCGATATTAATGACATTCGCGCTGATAACATCTCTTTTTTAGAAAGGGAAAAGGGATTAGAGAAAAGTCCTTTGAGAAAAGTATTATGAGATAGGTTTCTAATATGAGATAGCAGGTTTTCAACACCCAAATTCAATCACACATTTTTTTCGCAATGATTACATAATTTAACAATAAATTTTCCACTAAATTCGCTTCAAGGACAATGACTTCATTGCGGAATCAATTCATGATGTCTATTAATTTAAACAGGAACCTCGCTATCCCATATTAGGATCCTATGTCATAATAGGGAACTCTATCTAAGAAGAGAAAAAGAATCGACTAATCTCTGGGCCTAAATGTGTATCTACACGGAGATAATTTTTTCTTTAAATTTTACCATTCTACTAGTAAAATGTTTGTAAGTATAATTATTAGTAAAATGTATGGTAAAACTTAAAAAAACTCATAAAATTCTTCAAAACGCCATGTTGTTCCACGTTCACATGATTTTCATAAGATAAATTTTAAGAAAAAAATTCTCTCCCTATGCTCATTAATAATAACTATTTACGAATGACGAGTGTGTAACAGGTATTTATCACTAAGAAAAACGATAGAAATACTACTGTCGCCGATTACCGTTCCCACTGAATCTTCCATTCTAAATTCCCTAGAATATCGTGAGTGTTTATAACAAAATCCAAATTACGATCGATTTTTTTAACGGAAGATTCGCAACTATTGACCCAAAATCTCAAGGATATGTTTTTCGCTGCAAAAAGTCGAATATCTTTAAGAACTTAAAAAAAAGAATCGTCACAATTGTGCCATAGATAATGTTTACTTAATGAAATCTGATTCGATTGTGTAACTTTTGTCTCTATCCCATTCGTCCCGCGCTTTAACAGTGTCCTCTCGTAAATTGAAACCCGGCCCATTCCGCGTGTATCGCGGTTCGGCCGCTCATGAATGAAAATTGATTCTCCAGAGGTGAAAGAGCCCGGGATGAAGAGCTTCCCTTCGGATGGTCGAGGACGTACATAGTTTACGCCGGCTCGTCGGCCAACTTGATGCCCGGCGCGTTGAATATTCACGAGGGCTCCGCCGAAATACCCGTGTCTGTGGATCCGCGCGCACGATACGTTGTAATTAGTTCGTTATACCGATATGTTCCGTATATAGACCGCCTCACCGCGACGACGACGTCGACGACGACGACGACGACGGCGGCGGCGGCGGCGGCGACGGGTTCAGCGATCTCATTTTCCACGGGCGCTTGGCGTTAACCGATCCGCGGCTATATTTAACGTCGCCGCCCGGGAGGGAGTCCCGGCGCTTTCGTCTGACAATTTCACGTTAATTTAATTAAATTGAATGGGAGGCGGGGGGACGGGGCCGCATTCGCCGTCACGGTGATACATCTACCTGCCTCTCACTGTCGATATTATCGGGCTGACAATCGACGTAATGATGGAGTGATTCGCGCCTGGTGCGGCGAATCGGATTTTCTCCAGCGGGAAACGTCCGTGCGATATCGCGAAGTCTGTGATTACCTGCGGCGCTATCCGTTCTGTCATTATCGCGAGTAGAAGCGACTCCGAAACGTCTCGCCAATTTGTACGCTCGCCGGGCATTTAACGCTAAATGTAGCGTTCTAATTCCTGCTTTATTAACGAGAAAGTGGCGATCAGCGTTTAAACGTAAATGACCGTTAAATTACACGAGACGCTTTAGCTCTTATTTGTTCAACATGAAAGTAGCGAGATCAGCAGTTAAATCATAACGATCGTTAATTAAACAAATGTGTCTTACAATTGGACGCGTGACGAAAATATCGAGCGGTGACTTCAAGCCGAGCGTTACATCGCTCGTCTAATGCACTCAGAAAAAAAGTTTCTTTTAAATCAAACAAATTTCCTTTGAATTTTGGCCTTACTAGACTTGTATTTAATTTCAAAGAAATGGTATCTTTACCTTAACCAAAATTTTAATTGATTAACGACTGGAATCTCTAAGATAATTCACATCTATTTCTTTAAATATAGCAAACGTTTTGGTAGAAATAAACCAAAATTTAGTAGATTCGAAGAAACGTGATTTTAACGTATCTCATCTTTATTTAACTTAAATAAATCGTTTTTCTAGATGTGAGATAACAAGCGGCCACAAACTTTTTTTACAGCGTCGAATTTGCATTGAATCGAGCAAACGTCGTGATCGCCGGATTTTACTGTTATATAAGATATTTAGCTTTCACCCCCCCCCCCCCCCAGCCACCAGATGCCACAATCGCACGTTAAATTTCTTATTGCCTCGCACGCGCTCGCAGATCGTTATCGGGAACACTTTTGTGTCAGCGGCGTCTTAGCGCGCGCGTTAACTTCGCGGATTAGATCTCGGCTAATCACGCGCGGATTCTCTCGTGCAGATTTATCGGCGTTTCTTGCGGGATCAAGTCGGACGAAGGTTTACTCCGTACAACCACATTTCGAGATATATTATCAGATTAACGTTCCTCTTGGGGCAAGATGTTCCCATGCCGATCGGCGAGTCCCCGATAACGGAAGATACATTGTCACATCGTTTTATGTGTATGTATAAAACTTATATCCAAACTTTTATTACTTCTGTTTTCTCGGGCAGATGGCAGATATCCCTATCTTGGCTCTTCCATTCATGCTCCGTTCGCCAATCGCGAAAACAAGATTTCAATCTCCCGATCACGTATCTTCGATCTCACAAATCTCCCGAGTCGCCAACCTGCTGATGTCGCCTTCCTCTTCGAAGGCGAAACACGTTGTTTTCGCGTTTCGGAAGCAGCCTATTTTCTCGCAAATCCCGACGGGATTTCTCGAGTTTTTCTCTCGAATATATGATTCTCTACAAGTGTTTT